TTTGGCATGACTGCTTTGAAGAAGGGCAGAAGCCTGCTTTTATTTCATTTTCCTGAAAGACATGGATTGCAGAAATGCCCATGTAGAGATCAATGGATCGAAATGTGCTCGCTGGAGAGTAGGCTGTGTAGTGCATGATGCAATGCTTGGCGCCAATTAGTAAGTGGAAAGTATTGTGGACGATTTCATAGTCTTCTGTCAATGGTGTTTGCCTTAGATTATGTAAACATTATTTCCTACCTCCTGATGGTAAAAATTTACATGGATTCAAACACAAATAAAAGATTGGGAGGGAGAGGAAGACGCTTGATAAGAAGCAGATGCGTATCTATGGTTAGCTCCAAGGTGAGTTTTCTGCTTTCAGCTTACAGTTACAGTTATCCAAGGCCTCCGCAGAAAGATCCCTGTCTTTCATCATGCAGGGAAGAGCTGCAGATGTAGTTCCTGGTGCTGTTTATCTGACCTTCGAGAACGAGGAGGAAGGAAGAAGGAGCATTTAGAGCAGTGCCCAGCGAAATGATTCACGCTCCGTTCACTTACCCTGACAGGCCTTTCAAACCTTTGGCTGCATTTTGCTTGTGTAAACAAGAGCTACAGCTTAGGTGGAAAGAAGCAGCGTGGTTGACATTTTGACATTCATACTTTTAAAACCCTCCTTGGCTAAGACCAGTAGGGAATCCAGAAGAGCAGTATAATTCAGTGCAAAAGTAACTAGATTTTATTCTTTGAAATCCACATAATGTATATATTCCTGATTGTGCAGCAGAAGAAAAGGCTTACTTGACTGTTTCTCGGTTTCTAAATTCAGCTGCAGCCTTTTGCCAACTTCTTGCAATACTTTAGTTCTCTCTCATTTCTCTGGGTCCCCTGTGGAGAGCCATGCTTCTGAAGTCCATATTGCAGCCACGGGAATCCAGCTCAAGTAGGGCAAATTGCAGGCCACTTTCTGTTGAGCCCTTCAGAGAAGGGAGAGAAGGGGTATATTGGTTCTCTCATATCTCTCTGCTTGTGAAAGTCTCTCCTAATACAGAAGTATAATCCAGTTCTGCTTTCAGCTGCCAAAGACTGTTTTACTCTATAAATATACTGCTCCTGCTCTTCATGACTTAAATCACCAATTTACTCTCTCCCCCATTCCCAAAGGAAATAATAAATGTATCAATTTCTTAACTTCATAAATTTTGGTAACAAAGGGGAAGAGCAAGGCATGGCTGGAGCACACCAGGGAGAAAAAACATTTTTCTGTACCTCTGAGTTGCTGCCTTGTCTGGGGGAAGAAGGTGTTGTGAGACTGTCCTATATTTCCATGCCTTGTGCTCACACCTAGGATATTTCTGTTTAGGCAAAGATTGCCTCCTCAGACTTTGAATCTAAGATGGTCACTAAAATTGAAAGCTGCAGCCTGGAACCTGTAGCTGGACAGCAAACTCATCACTTTTAAAGATTCACACCCCCCTCACAGTGTGTTTCTTGGGGGTGAAGTGGTGAAGTGCATATGCTGTTGGTCATAGCCATAGTTATACAAGACTGTGAAGGAGTCTAGCTTCTAAGGCAAGAGCTCCTGAATTCGGCACCAGCTTTAATTCATCCCATTGCTGGAAAAATATCCTGTTTCCTGCTGGTGCGTTTGCCAAGGTGGGTTTCTTCTGATGCATTTTCCAGGAGACAGTTCCCACAGGGCTTGATAGTCAAACAGTAGTGCAGTTAGCCTAGCTCAAAGAGCCGCCTTCTCAGGACACTGTATGCTGAGGGAGCAGGAGTTCATGGTCCCCATTTTCTTGCCTCTATCCGTTAAATTAAGCGCTGGAAGTTCAGCTTGCAAACCTGCACTTCTGGATCCTCTTAACTGATCAAGTGTGATCTTAGTCGCTACCTCTGGCAGGTCCCTCTGAGGTTCCTCCAAATCTCCAGGCTTGGTAAGGGCCTGCGGTGGTGTTTGCAAATTATACCTGTTTGATGCACTCTTCAACTTTTCCAGACCATTAGAAAATAGAGTTAAGAAAGCCAAAATGTGTTTCACATCCCTTAACCTGTTTTACTTGCTTTATGAGCTACAGCAGTACATTACCTTGGACTCCTGGGATGCAGGGCCTTAAATGTCAAAGGTTCATCTCCATGTTCTTACATATCTTTTAAAGGAAATGTACCTTTAAGCATTTATTTCTGCAACAGGTGCACACAGACATTAAGTTTAGCGTGACTAGATTATAGGTGATTTTTTTCTCCGCTGATTTTAAAGACACTTTAAACATCATACCTGAAGCATAAACACGAAGTGCAGCAAAAGTCTGCAAATACACTTCTTTTGAGTTTTATTCCCTGCCCACATGCCCGAAACAGTGATATTCTGGCAATCTGGTACTTTTTTCAAATTTGTGTCTCTTAAAAGAAAAGAAAAGCAAAAAAAAAAAAAAAAAAAACCAAAAAACCAACCCTGCTTGAGAATGCTAAACAGCTTTTTAGTTGACTTTCTACTAAAATTGAAGGTCCATATAATTGATGACACCGGGGAGGTGCTGCTGGATGAAGCTTTGTGGCAGGTTCTCTTTTTTTTTCCCTTTTTTTTTTCCATTATCCATCTATCACTAATCTGCACTTTGGAGTTACCTTACTCCAGCTGTTAAGCACTAAGGAAAAACAAGAAACCTGTGAAACACAACCTGCTGTACAGCCTACAAAGCTGCTGCCCTCCCAACAACAGCTTCGCTTTTCTTGGCTTTCTATTCTTTCTGCTTCTGCCATCTTTTGTGTGTCTTAATAC